GAAGAGAGTTTCACCCTTTACCCCTCACTTTTGATTTTGCCCTCCCCCACCCGGGGAAAAGGAAGGAGTGGGAAGGGGCAGCAGCTACAGCATGGGCTCCACTGGCAATGACCTTGGGCCCTGGGGCAACCTTTGCCTGGAAGCATCACCCAGGTTCAGCACATCTTGCTCAAGGTAACGAAACTAGCCTCCAAACTTGGGTAAGCACGCTCTCTTAAATTTGTAGTTTTAACTGTTAATGATGAGATGTTGATTCTCTGTGTAAATTAATTGGGAAGTGCATTTAACAAAACTGAAGTCACCTGATTGGTAATGGGTTTGTTTCAGGTTTCAAACTGGTGAACTTAACTTTCTGTATCAGTTAAGTCAAGCAACTCTTCATAATTTGGTTACCGCTGAAATAATTCAGCTATTGTTGGTTATTGTTTTAATGTGTAAACTAGCCAAACAGTTTGTTTGGGTTATGTATGGCTTGCTGAGAATTTGCAAGTGTATAGAAATCTCTAATGATTGGCTTTTTATACCAGGACAAATTTAAGTTTGAGATGGAAATCTTGGAGAAGTTTTTCCCAAGCTGTGATTAGTAAAACTTGCTGTCTGAGGTAAAAGCTCATAGGGTTTTATTTTGAGTTGTCTGATGGGTCATAATCCATCGATAATCAATAATACACCATCTGAGAGAAATGCCACAAGCTACTCAGAGAAGGTAATACTGGTGGCAAGTCAGCACTGGGAAAAGCTGAGAGGACAATTTTAGCTCAGTCTAAGATGGGATCCTACTGGCTCAGTTTCCCCATTATGTTCCTTTGAAAGGGAATGTTACCTACCTGGCTATTCCTGAGTCTAGCTATGAGGTGGATTTGATTCTGCATGGTTGGAAAACTGAATTATCTAAATCCAAACAGAGCTAAGGATGTTTTATCCTCTCAAAGCTGGGCCCTAAATCTAGTCCCTGCTTTGCATCTGGGCCCTGCAGTTTTTTCTGTCATACTTGTGTCTTCCAAACTACAGGCCATTTACCTACAGTTGTTAGCAAACAGCAGGTACCAGCCAATGTCTCCATTTCGTTCCCTGGATGCAACCTGTGCTCAGTTCCAGTCAACCTCCTCTTTGGGACCCTCTTGAGGCAGGGACAGCTCTACAGCCCTTGCCAGCAGGAAGCAGTTTCAGAAGCTGAGACCTTCGCCCCTTACTCCAAAAGAATATGGGTCCCATTTGTTTGAGGGGAGAATGATGGGATTGGGATCTGGGCCCCAGAAAGGAAAAACCCTGGACTCTCCCACATGGCCAAATCTCCTAAGGCCTTTCATTGTGGCTACATCCAATCTCCCCTCCGTTGTCTTACCTCCCTATGGCCCCTGGCCATTTCCCACCCTTACTCTTAGCTAGGCTCCCTTCTCCCTTGACCACTAGGTCCACTACCTAGGAGTTCTGTTCACCCCAGTTTGCTGGCCACTCCAAGGTCCCTCCCACAGTCTTTCTGTATATAAGGTCCACCTTGTCTCCATTAAGATGCTTAGATTCTTAAAATCTAGCCACTGCTTACTCATGTTCAGACTCCTTAAGAGTCTGCCCAATATGATGGATGTTCTAATAAACCTTGTCTTTGGCTGAAAAAAAAAAAAAAAAGAAATTATCAAGGAAAACTATATATAAAAAAAAAAAAAGAAATTATCAAGGAAAACTATATATAACACTTACATAGAAGTGCTATAAGAAATGATTAGCAGGATGCTCTCAGAAAAACCTGGAAAGACTTGCATGGTATGATACAAAGTATATAAAGTAAAAGCAATATTGTAAGATGATCAGCCGTGAATGACTTAGCTATTCTCAGCAATACAATGATCCAAGACAACTCTGAAGGACTTATGATGAAAAATGCTATCTGTCCCCCAAAAAAGAACTGATGGTATCTGAATACAGACTAAAGCATATTTTTTAACTTTATTTTTTTGAGTTTTTTTGTCAATTTTCTTTCACAACATGACTATTATGGATATGTTTTGCATGACTACACATACATATTGAATTACTTGCCTTCTCAATGGGGAGTGGGAGGTGTGGGAAGGGAAGGAGAGAATTTGGAACTCGAAGTTTTAAAAATGAATGTTAAAAATTGTTTTACATGTAACTGGGGAAAAATAAAATAATAATAATAAAAATTTAACAAAACAAAAAGAGTTCAGCCTATCTACAAAGGAAAAACAAGTGACTAAAGAATGCCATATTATCATATATATTTGGAATGTTCCCCCATGCATCTTCCTTCCATGCCACCATCCCCCAGTTTGGCAGATTACACTCTGATGTATGAGAGTTCTACATAACCTAGCCCAGAGCTAGCACCATCATGTTGCTCTCAGGCCATTTTCAGGCTAAAGTGCTTACCTCTGTGCCCCTCCCCCTTTTCCACTTCTTTGTTTGGGAGCATTAATCAAGTCACCATCACCATTTCTGGAAAGATCATGTCAATATATTGCTGCATGGCTCTATCCATAATCTCAATGACTTCCTAATCTAAAACATCTCTCTGAACCACCACTTTTTTCTATGTTGTTATCTTTCTTGTGGGCAGAGAGTGTCTTTCTTTTTTGTATTTGTATCCCCTGTGCTTACTCAGCACAGTGCCTGGTACACAGCAAGGGTTTAATAAATGTTCTGTCATTCATTCATTCATTCTTCAAACTCTGATACACAACTGTACGTACAATCTATAGAGTCTGTCCAATAGCATACACTTCTTGGACACTTCAGATGGGAAGAGTTGGGTACAACAGGTAATGGGCTGGATTGTCTGTGGGAAACTCCTCAGTATTTTTAATGAATTTATGCTTCTCCTGAAAAACAAAGACCCATCTTCCTAACATCGAAACTTTTCCAGCAATATTATATGACAAGGAGTCACAGAACAGCAAAATCTTCAAAGGATTAAAGTTGTAGGTCAGTCAAAGAGAAATGGAAAGGTGTCCAGTATGTAAGAGATCTTTTCTGCTTTACAGGTCGTGATGACAAAAGAATTCTTGTCAAGTGGCCAACACAGAGAAGACAAAATATACACCCTCTCCATACTTAGCTAGACTTGTACTGACAAAACTACAACGTACTACCAAAGATGAAATGTGTAAGAGAAGAGGCATAAAAGATATCAGATGAATCCAACTGAAATGGAGTGATCTATCTATCTAATAAGAGAAAAGTTTAATAAACTTTGAATAACTCTTGTATTATGATGGTACCCACAAAATGTCAGATATCTAAAGGCAGAACCCCAGAAAGTTTGGTGGATCCTCCTATGAAGGATTTATAGTGGACAAAACTTATATGGGATGTCAGAAAGCACTGATGGGTTCCAGGCTTGTCATCAATGTGATGATTCCCTCTAGTAGTGAGCATCGATCCATCCAAGTACTAAAGTAAGTAAAATAACTGGCTATAACAGGACAATATAACAGGCTAGGAAGTACAGATTATCTTATCTAATCAGAGAGATAATTATAATGACTACACATATGCACAGAGCCAAAGAAAATGCATAGAGCCATAGGTATGAGGAAGTTCAATAAACTCTATGCTCCTAAATGTGAACTTTCTATGACTCCATTTTCATATAAATTAAACCAAGATTTTTAGTGATATTGAATGATTTAATACAATCTTTTATAAATAATCATGCCATACAAATTCTAAAATTATGATTCTTAACTTGTTTCTATAGTCCTTATTTTTTTAACTTCATTCACCCTACTTCACTTAGTTCTATTACATACTGACAAAAAAGTGATGCGCTCAAACAAAGCCAATTTAACCAAGATTAGAAGGGAAGCAGAATGCTAGGAAACAATTTTTACAGCCAGTGTCTCTGATAAAGAACTGAGTCAAATTTATAAGAATACACATCATTCCCCAATTGATAAATGGTCAAAGGATATGAACAGGCAGTTTTCAGAGGAAGAAATTAAAGCCATCTATAATCATATGAAAAAATGCTTTAAATCACTACTGATTAGAGAAATGCAAATCAAAACAACTCTGAGGTACCACATGACACCTAGCACATTGGCTAACATGACAAAACAGGAAAATGATAAATGCTAGAGAAGATGTGGGAAAATTGGAGCACTAATGCATTGTTGGTGGAGTTGTGAAATGATCCAACCATTCTGGAGAGCAATTTGGAACTATGCCCAAAGGGCTACCAAAATGTGCATACCCTTTGACCCAGCAATATCATTTGTAGGTGGTATCTCTAGAAGACATCATAAAAACAGGAAAAGGACCTACATGAGCAAAAATATATATAGCAGCTCTTTTGGTGGTGGCAAAGAACTGGAAATTGAAGGGAAGTCCATCAATTGGGGAATGACTGAACAAGTTGTGGTATATGAATGTAGTGGAATACTACTGTGTTATAAGAAATGATGAGCAGGCAGACTTCAGAAAAACCTGCAAAGACTTATATGAACTGATGCAGAGTGAAATGAGTAGAATCAGGAGAACATTGTACACAGTAACAGTCACGTTGTAAGATGACTAACTTTGATAGACTTGACTCTTCTCAGCAATGTCTCTAAGACAACTCCAAAACACTCACAATGGAAAATGCTGTCCATATCCAAGGAAAGAACTTAGGAGTCTGAAAGCAGATGGAAGCATACTATTTGCTCTCCTTTCATTTTGCTGTTTTCTTTCTCATGGTTCTTCCCATTAGATCTAATTCTTCTCTACATCATGACTAATGTGAAAATATGTTTAATATGAATGTATAAGTAGAGCCTATATCAGATTGCATGCCATCTTGGGGAGAGGGGAGGAGACGAAAGGGGAGAAAATTTAAAACTCAAAATCTTATGGAAGTGAATGTTGAAAACTAAAAATAAGTAATTAAAAATAAGTGATGCATTAAAGTACTATACAATTTATTTCATAGACCTTCAAAAATCAATGAATTAAGATTACACTGGATAAAAGAAGCTTAACATTAAACAAATTTCCATTACCTCACAGTGCTGGCGAGAAGCTTGGATTTCACATTCATATTTGTTCTTTACAGATTCTAAGCAGAGCTCTCTATAGATTCCTACAATCAAACAAAAGTTCTATGGTTATTTAAGCAATAGCTTATTTTGTGCTCATTTCCCTAAAAGATTCTTGATTTTAGAAAGTGACAAAGGATAAACTTGGAAGAGTCTGACAATTGATTTTATTTTTCCATTAAAAAAATACCAAGAACTAAAATAGATACCAAAGACACATAGGTAGACACTTAATATTATTGTGCCTTGAGGAATGATGAAAAAGACAATTTTAAAGAAGCCTGAAACATGAACTGACTCAAAGTGAAGTAAGTAGAACTGGAAAAACAAACAGATCAGTTTCAAAAGTAATATGTAGAATTTATCATATACATTTCTTTTTTAGGCAATTGGGGTTAAGTGACTTGGCAAGGGTCACACAGTTAGTAAGTGTCTAAGGTCAGATTTGAATTCAGCTCCTCCTGACTCCAGGGCTGGTGCTCAATCCACTGTGCCATCTAGCTGCCCCCTACATTTTTTTTTAAAGTAATCAATGTGAAATGTAGATTCACAGTCTCATATAACATAATCTTCTTTTTGTTTTGCTATGCGTTGTATGGAATTTCTCTCTTCTTGATGAAGCCATGTACTGTAGGGTCAGTGTTTCAAACACTTCATTTTTAAAATGATCACAATCCACTTGAAATAATATACTTTGAAGATTCTGCCTTGTTCCCAATTTTGTAAAAAGAGAACAATGTGTAGTCTTTAAATTACAGAATATTACAGTAGATTGCAGAGTCAAGATCCAAAAAAGTTATAACAGGCTTAGAATGAGGAACTAAATCTAAAAATATAATTTAATGAAGATAAGCATAAAGTGCAATGCTTGAGAAGCCTCAAGAGAAAGTGTCTTCCCCTTTACTCAATGTGTGCAAGTGAAGGGTGAGTAACCACTTATCAAAGATGTTATAGATGATAGCCTTAGGAAAATCTACTGTTCAGGTAGTGTTTGGACTAAATGGTCTTGGAAGTCCCTTCCAACTCTGAAATCCTAAAATTTTGGAAAAGCAATCATCTCTTTCCTTAAAGTCCTATAAGAAATGCTATAATCAAAATGCTTTGATTATAATTGTGTGGTATAAAAATCAATCAATTAATAAGAATGCATTAAGCACCTACCTTGTGGCAAACACCATGATAACAATGGGAGTACAAACACAAAAACAAAACAACCCACTGCCCTTAAGGAATTTACATTCTATTGAAGTAAACCAGTACACAGAGAAGCATTAAGACTTTTAGGATACCCTGAATAAAAATGTACAAAATAAATACAAGTTATTCTGGTGAGGAAGGCACTATCAGATGGGAGGATTAGCAAAGGCCTCATGTAGAAGGTGGCTTTTCACCTAAGCTTTCAAAGAAACCAGGACATTAACATAGGTGAGGAACAAATATATTTGAACCATGGAAGAAAAGTCTATACAAAAGTATGGAGAGTTGGAATATCATGAGAAGGAGACCAAGACCAGTTAGGGAGGACCATAATGAGTGAATGGGTGTAATATATAATAAGCTTTAAGGTAAGTTGGAACATAAAATGAAGTTTGTATTTGATCCCAGAAATAACAGGGAACAATTGAAATTTATTGAAAAGGGGAGTGACATGGTCAGACTTGTTCTTGGAGAGAAGCTATACTTGGACTAAAGAAAAAGTTTAAACCTTGCCTCCAACACTTAGCAGTTGTTAGACTATCAGCAAGTCTTACTTTTCTGCATCTCAATTTCCTTATCTGTAATGATAATAATAATAGTTAAAGTACCCACCCACAATGGTTTATTGTGAAGGTCAAATGTGTGAATGTATACAGAGTGGTCTACAAACTTTAAAGCACCCTATCAATGTCAGTTATAATAATAACTATTATTATTGTTAAAATACTGACTGAGGGTGGATCTTATTACAAATATAAACCTGAAATGTAAATATATCTGTTTACAATCAAATATATTGTCATTTACTTATTGCATGACTGAGCAATGCAAGAAAGCTTATTTGAACAAATGATTAGGTTTAAAATAGGATGCTAGTCAATGTGCTAAATGTACTTATCAGTTAATAAGCATTTATTAAGACCTGGATACCAGGCACTGTGCCAGGTGCTAGGAATACAAAAACAAAAGTGAGACAGTCCCTCTGTAGAGAGAGAAAAGCTCACCTTGGGGGGATAAAGCATTAGCAGCTAGGAGGACTAGGAAAGGTTTCATGTAGAAGATGGTACCTGAGTTGAGTCTTAAAGGAAACCAGGGATTGTAAGGTAAGAAAGAAGAGGAAGAGGAAGAGCATTTGAGGCATGAGAGGTAACCAGTGCAAAGACACTGAGTAATAAGACTAGAAAGGTAAAACAGAGCAAGTTAAAAGGGCTTTAAATGCCAAACAGAGGAGTTTATATTTGGTTCTGGAGGTAATATTGAACATATGAAGTTAACTGAATAGGAGATGATGACATGGTCAAACTTCCACTTTTGGAAGCACACTTTAGCAACAGCATTGAGGATGGATTACAAGTGGAGAAAAATGTGAGAGGGAAAAATCAGGAAATTATTGCAACAGTCTAGGTGACAAGTTGCTTAACTGGGGTGGTTGGCAATATGAATGAAAATAACATGACAGATTCAAGAAATATTGTGGCTATAGAAATAATAAGATTTGGTCACTGTTTAGATATGTGAAAAAGACCGAAGAGTCATGTATGACACCAAGGTTGCAAACCCAGGTTTCCAAAAGGTTAGTTCAAAATAGGAGAGGGTTTGAGGGAAAAATTAGTGAGCTCTGTTTTTAAACATGTCGAGTTTAATATATCTTTGAGACATCTGGTTCAAAAGGTCCAATGGACTGTTGATAATGATGCAAGACTGTAACTTAGGAGAGAGATTAGGATTGTGTAGAGAGATCTGGAAGTCATGTGCACATAGACGATAACTGTACCCTTGGAAGCTTATAAGGTCACCAAGTAAGAGAGCATAGAAAGAAAAGAGAAAATGACTTATGACAGTCATTGGGGTATATCTGTAGTCAGTAAGTGTGACATGGATGATGATCCAGGAAAGGAGGCAGAGAGGAAATCAAAAAATCAGGGGAAGGATCAAGAAAGATAAATGTCATAAAAATCCAAGGAAGTGAGAGCATCTAGGAGTAAAGTGTGTCAACAGTAGCACAGAGAAGTCAAAAAGAATAAGGATTGATTGAGTGCCTGGAGCATGAACACTGCATTTTTATCTTTTTATCCCCAGTACCTAGCACAGTACACGGCAAATAATATATGGTTAATAAATGTTTGCGGATTGAGAAAAAGCCATTAGATTGGGAGAAGATTACTGACTTTGGAGAATAATTTCAGCTGAGTGATGATGTTAGAAGCTAGATTGCTGAGATTTTAGGAGAGAATGACAGAAGAGGAAGTGGAAGGAACAGACATAGATAGCTATTTAAAGGAGTTTGGCTAAGGAAAGGAGGAGAGACACTGGACAACAGGTTGTGGGAATGGTCGTATCTAATTAGGGATTTTTCAGGATAGGAGAAAGTTGGACAGGTGTGTTGGCAGCAGGGAAGGAACAAATAGATGGAGAGAGATTAAAGATTAAAAATCATCAGGACAGAAGGGATGATAGGGACAATATCCTGAAAAAGATAGAGAGATATGTATAGAGGGGCTTGCTTTGGCGAGGAGGGCCAGCTCGTTATCACAGGATGGAATACTAGAGGAAAGTAAAGGATTATGTCAAGGAGTTATGTGGTGAGAAGAGGGAGCTTACAAAGAAGAACCTTTATTTTCCCAGTAAAATATGAGGTATAACCCTTAGCTGTGAGAAGACAGGACGTTTGGAGGAAATGGCATAAGAAGCTTGAGGAGAGAGTAGGTTTCAGCTAGTTGCTGTGGTAACTAGGATAGAGAATCAAGGGAGGCATCAAAGGATTGCCTTGCTGCAGTGAGGGTCTAGGTAAGATTAGATTTGTAATAAACTTAATTAGCAAGGTTGTGTGACTTCCAGTAGCTCCATTCTGTAGCACAAGAATATTCTAAGGCTGGAATCTGACAAAATATGAGCAGTGGTGATAGGATAAAAGATTTGAGAGATCAAGCTCCTACTCAATGTTTTGATCATATACTGCTCAATAAATCAAAGCAGCAGCCATTATTACTGCAAAAGTCAATTTTTACTGATGCCTTAGAGAAATGCTACTATAAGAAGAATGCTAAGATAGTGTCCATAGTCTAATGATCTGTTTTTTCTTTAGTCAGTATAGTTCTTCTACCACTGAAGATTACAAGACTTATAACTTAGGATATAAAGTATTGGGTGAATGGCATGAAGATACACATAGCAGATACTTCATAAATGTTTGTTGAATTCAATTTGGATATTCATTTTACTTCGTGATTTGCTAACAGAAAGTTAAACTTTGGGAGGACACCTGCCATCTATTCTTAAGCCCCATTACATAAAGTGTTTTTGTTCTTAAATTGTTTTCACATGTATAAATTGTCTCCCTCCAAGAGCATGAATTCCTTGTGGGTTCCTTACATATATTTCCCACAGCATGTGTACAAAGTGAATGCATAGTAGGTGCTTTAAAAAAGGAATATTTATTAATAATGAAAAGAATATGTTGTGGTCAAAGTAAAGATGCATTCAATCTTCAGTAACATTACTAACAATAAAATACATTCATTTTATAAGTATCCTTTAAGTGGAAATTAAGGAGAAATGAATTTTTCACATTCCTACCTGCTACCTTTGTTCGGATTTGCATATTTTCTTGCAAAGTTGCCAATGGTTCCAAATATTCTGGTGCCTTCCCAGCTATTACTTCTTGGAGCTTTGCATCCACTTGACTCAATCGTTCTTTATAAAGCCTTAACATAAAGCAAAAAATATAAAAAATCAGTTCAACAGAGCAGTTCAGTTTCTACATCATCTTTGTCTAATCTCATACACATTCAACCTATCAAATTCATTCTGTTTTAACTTCATCTTAAACATGAAACTCAGTTATTTTACTCGCTTTCATGGATATATTATTCACTACCAAATTTACATCTCTATTTTTTTCAGGAACAAACAGAACTAAAATAACTATCCTCTGGCTCCCTTTAAAAAATTTAAGTAGTTCTTTTTAAATTGTCTAAGTTCAAATTTTTAAAATGGTTTTAACTTAACACAAGTTTGATTAAGAGAACTGTAAGAGACTATATCTTACTAAGATATGCTTAGTAAAGTTTGCTAACTAGTAAAGTTAGTAAAGTTTTACAAATTTACCAAGACTATGAGAACTAAGACTACAAGAAAAAAGATCACATAGAAAAGGAAGTTTAAAAAGAAACTAACAAAGAACATAAGTATGTAAACACTAGATTTTTTTGTGCTTTTTAAACAAACCCTGAATTTTCTCCTATTATCATCTCCTGAACAAGTCTATCTGATGCTATCTAGTCTGTGCTCATTTTAAAAATCCACAAGAAGCTAAGGTATTAGCAATTTGGCATTCCCAGCTTATCCAGGTTGCAATTTAACAAATTATTAAATAAGTTGAAAAATCACCTACTGAAAGACAAATGAGCATGTATAGTTAGCCTACCCAAATAGCATGTCTGATTACACAAACTACTCCATTATGCCAACTGCGACATAAGTTCACTGTATGAAATCCTTCAATGGTTCCTTACTGCCAATTCATTAATAAAAGTCCAAATTCCTTAGCCTGCCATTCCAAAACCCCCCAATCTGACTTTTCTAATATTATTTTATTCCTCGATCTTCTCTCTCTCTCTGTGTCTCCCAACAAAATTTAAAATTATTCACTGGTCACAGAACACATCCTCCCAACTTCTCCTGTGCCTGCTTTTTTGTTTGTTGACATCCTATTTTTCAACATTTAATTAAAATTCTACCTTCTCTGTTCCCCCTCAAGTAGAGCTGATCTCTCCTTGATCTAACTTCTTGGCATTTGGCACAATTACATCTTTATTTCTACTATATTTATCTATATACATGCCTAATCGCTTCTACTAGGCTGTAAGTTCCTTGAGGAGAGGAACCATGTCTTATTAATGGCTCCATCCCTTCCAGTGTCTATTCACATACAGAATAACAAATATAAATGTTTATTAAGAAAAGAATGAAGCACTCAGCTTCATTCTGGTTATCAAAGACAGTATGTTCAGAATTGACCAACTACTCTTAGAAGCATTGTACAGGAGAAGTAACATCTACTGTTAGGAATTGATGACTTAAAACACAATGACAAAGTAATCAGGATACTACCGAATGATATTTTGTGTCCTTTGGTGACACAATGGGTAGAGTGCTGGCCCTGGAGTTCAAATCCAACCTCAGACACTTACTAGCTGGGTGACCCAGGACAAGTCACTTAACTTCTCTTAGCCTTGGTTTCCTCATCTGTAAAATGGGAATAATAATACAGTCCATTTTTCATAGTCTAGCCTTAATTATAGCCCATAGATTTTTTTTAACAGTATTTGAAACCAGCAAGTTCCCAGACTACTGAAACAAGTTTCTCTTGTGGATAAATTTCTTAACCTTTCATGATGAGTGTGGCAAGGTCATGTTGCAATACTGATTCCATTTTCTTTTGGAAATTTATGTAATTCCAGAACAATTCTGCTTCCTAGAATATCAATGTATTTTTCAGAGTTCATTTCCTCAATGCAGATAAAACTTCAAAGTCCATTAGAAGTAATAAATTCTCAAACTACTTTTTGGTGAATATTTACAATCTAATGATTCCTATAGCTTACAGGGTCACCTGGACTTCAATGTTTGGTACCTCATTCTTTGTATTGTCTTGCCCAAGCTAAATTTGTTTATTCATAGAAATGGTTAACAGATTTTTTTGTTGTTGTTTTAAAATACCAGACTTCTTAGTTTTCTTCCAACTCCAAGAAGCTTATGCTGTACTGTAGAAAAACAGTGAAATAGCTATTTTACTTTCTGGTTCAACTAAAGGTGTTTGCTTATTTTTTGAGGTTTAAATAAGCTTTTTATAGCAATTGTTTATTGGTTCTTTGTTTTTTTCATTTTCAACCACACTTTCCTCTGTGCTTCAGTGGTATTGACCTTGTTTCACTGAGGACTTGAAATGTTTGATTACTCCATGCCAACAGCTGTTGAAATACCTCTAATAATCAGCAAAGGATATTTTTGATTGTTACAGCTTCTGCACTTTCCTTGGAGTGATGTCCATTCTTAAAAGCCAAAATTAGAACATAACAAAAGATAGCAATTAAACACATATTATGGCAGTAAATCCAGCACTCCTATGACAAGGAAATAACCAAAAATGGAAAAACCAACCCAATATGCTTTCATTTGGTCAACTTCAGACAATATGAATCAGTCTGCTGTCTGTAGTAGCACATATGCCTTACCACTGATATCACAAAAAGAAACCATAACAAAAATATTGTTTGCCCCAAGTAATTCCCACACCACTGTAAATGATCTCTAAGCTTCCTTTCAGCTCCATTTTGAGACTGTGAATTACAAACTGGAAAGGAAAGGCATGAATAAATGATTCAGATGATAGTTCCACCTCATTTTAGTCCATAGTTCCTTTCCAATCAAACATTTTACCTATTAGCAACTCCAAGTAAATTATTTAAGCTTCCACTCCTCTAGGTAAACAAGAGTCATTTATTTGTTTATTTGTTTTAAACAAGAGTCATTTAAAGATATGTGTGTGCCCACATGTACAGAAATATTTATAGCACCTCTTCTTGTGATGGCAAAGAATTGGAAATTGAGGGGATGTCCATCAGTTGGGGAATGGCTGAACAAGTTGTGGGATATGAATGTAATAGAATACTATTGTGCTATAAGAAATGATGAGCAGGCAGACTTCAGAAAGACCTGGAAAGACTTGAATGAACTGATGCTGAGTGAAATGAGCAGAGCCAGGAGAACATTGTTTACAGTAACAGCCACAACGTAAGATGACTAACTTTGATGGACTCATCTCTTCTTAGCAATTCAAGGATCCAAGACAACTCCAAAGGACTCATGATGGAAAATGCTGTCCACATCCAGAAAAAGAACTATGGAGTCTGAATGCAGATCGAAGCATATTATTTGCTCTCTCTTTTTTTTTGTTTGTTTCTCCTTTCTCATGGTTTCTCCCATTGGTTGTTGTAATTCTTCTTTACAATTTGATTAATGTGAAAATAGGTTCAATATGAATGTATATGTAGAGCCTATATCAAATTGCATTCCATCTTGGGGTGGGGGAATGAGAGAGATAGGGAGAAAATTTGGAACTCAAAATATTATGGAAGTGAATGTTAAAAACTAAAAATAAATTAATTAATTAAAAAATATGTTGTGCCACAAAATCAGCCAAATTCTATAACTCTTGGGTTTAAGATGGCATAAAATCTCAGAGGTTTACATGGAATTGTGGGAATCTGGTTCTTACCATTACAGAAAATACATAATGGAGGGTTTCTTCCCTTATGAGACTTTAAAAGATATGTACACCACAAATGCTAGGAAAAAAATAGACTAATTATAACTACCATAGAAGGTGTGCACACACACACACACACGAATATCTATATGTATGTCTAGATAGGGAGGCAGTGTGGCATATGGAAAGCCAACATCAAAGTAAGGTCAAAGAACAAGCTAGGGAAACTATAGTTGCTGGTTGGTCAGTGGAAAAGTTAAAGTTTGGCACAAATGTAAATATGGCAGTATCTTCCCCAAACATAAACTGTTCGCCCCTTGCTACTCTAGTTCCCACTTCAACAACTCACTTGAACTTGAGTTCAAGTCCTAGCTCCAAGACATATAGGCTATAAAACACAGGCTATAGATGAGACTGTAAATTTTGCACATTTCCTAACCAGGAATTAACTACATCAGCAAAATCACATGTGGTACCAGACTAAAACCTTGTTTCTTCCTATAACCGTATGTTCTTTACTGTCCAAATAATGCATAATTAGAGAATCCAAACTAATTTTAATATTAGTTTATAGATAACAAAATAGGAAGGTAAGTCTCAGAAATGAAAAAAAAATTACAATTCAACAACGGTTACTAAGTGCTTACTAAATGTACTAGGTTATAAAAATGAAATAGATTCTGCCCTTAAAGAGCTTATAGTCTACTGGGAGAAAACAAAAATCAATACAGATAAGTAAATACAAAACAAAAACAAACTAATTCTGGGATGTGGGAAACACTAACAAATTGGAAAATAAGAAAAGGCTAATTTTAGGAGAAAGCACTAGAGCTGAGCCTTAAAGGGAGACAAGAATTCTGGGAAACATAGGTGAATAAGGAGGGCATTGCAGGCCTGGGGGAAGAGTCTATGCAAAGACAAAGAAGCAGAAGATGAAATGGCATGTATGAGGAACTGCAAAGAGTTCAACTTGGCTGTACATACAGTATGTGTGGAGAAGTGATGTGAAATCAGTATAGAAATATAGGTTTGAGTTAGACTGTGAAAGCTTTTCACAATATTACTTGAGGAACAGGGAAAAGTCAACTAGACTAACATACTAGCAAGAAATAATGAGAGCATGAATGAAGGTGGTGGCCCTACAAGTAGAGAAAGGGAGAAGGATGTAAGGGATTTTGCAGAGGTGGAACTGACAAGATCTGAGAGAGAGGGGGGAGAGTGGAAGATAACTCCTATAATACACAGGTGACTAAAATTATAGCCCTCAACAAAAAAAAAGTTAGGAGCCCAGGCTGGTTTGCAGAAAAAGATAATGAGTTGTTCTGACATGCTAATTTTGAGACATTTATTGGGACATCCAGATGGAAATATCTGGAATGTAGAGAAGATATTGAGGACTGGAGATCAAAACAGATACAAGGGCTAATTACATAG